AGTTTATAAACATTTTGTTTTGTGATATTCGTTGCAATTCCTTCAATGTAACAATACTCTTCGCACTTTTCTGGGTCCCCTTTTCCATGATCAGGCCATCTTTTCTTTTCTTTCTTTCTTTTTAAATTATTTTATTGGTGGCTCGTACAACTCTTATCACAATTCATACATCCATCCATTGTGTCAAGCACATTTGTACATCTGTTGCCCTCATCATACTCAAAACATTTGCTTTCGACTTGAGCCCCTGGAACCAGCTCCTCATTTTCCCCCTCCCTCCTCTATCCTCCCTCCCTCCCCCCTGATAATTTATAAATCATTATTTTTCCATGAATTACACTGACTGATGTCTCCCCTCACTTACTTTTCTGTTGACCATTCCTCAGGGAAGAGGTTAAATGTAGGTCCTTGTAATCGGGTCCCCCTCTCTACCTCACCTTCCCTCCACCTTCCTTGAATCGCCACGCTCACCACTGGTCCTGAAGGATCATCCGCCCTGGATTCCCTGTGTTTCCAGTTCCTGTCTGTACCACTCTACATCCTCTGGTCTAGCCAGATTTGTAAGTTAGAACTGGGATCATGATAGTAGGGGTGAGGAAGCATTTAAGAACTAGAGGAAAGTTGTATATTTCATCGTTGCTATACTGTAACCTGATTAGCTTGTCTCCTCCCTATGACCCTTCTGTAAGGGGATGTCCAGTTGCCTACAGATGGGCTTTGGGTCCCCACTTTGCACTCCCCCTCATTCACAGTGATAGTATTTTTTGTTCTTTGATGCCTGATCCCTGATCCGTTCGACACCTCGTGATCATACAGGCTGGGGTGCTTCTTCTAGGTGGGCTTTGTTGCTTCTGAGCTAGATGGCCGCTTGTTTACCTTCAAGCCTTTAAGACCCCCAGACGCTATATCTTCTGATAGCCGGGCACCATCAGCTTTCTTCACCACATTTGCTTATGCACCCATCTGTTTTCAGCAGTTGTGTCGGGAAGGTGAGCATCATGGAATGCCAGTTTAATAGAACACAGTGTTCTTGCATTGAGGGAGTACTTGAGTGGAGGCCCAATGTCCTTCTGCTACCTTAATACTAAACCTATAAATATATGCACATAGATTTATTTTACCATCTTCACATATAAATATATTTACATTTATACATGCCATATTTAGGATTAGAACATCTTTTCTGCAAACTCTTCCTGCCTTCTGAGCTTTGTTTTGGGGCAAATGTTGCCATTTTGGTCTTTGTGGTTGATTGATTGAGCAGCACTTTCCTCACAGGTGTTCTGTTCTTGTACACTTTCTAGAGTTGTTTGTTGCTTGGCTGAAAGATGTTCGCCAAGACTGGGTTGAGGTCCAGGTTTGAAGAGTAAGGGCTACAGTCTAGGGGGCTCCACCAGTCCTTTTCAGAGCACTTAGTTTGGGCTTTTTCTTGTTTTTGTGCTACATTTTGCACTCACTCTGACCAGAAGCTTCTATTGGCCACATTTTATGTTGGTTAAGTTTCTTTGTATGTCTCACTAATGTAGTTCCTAAATTTGTGACAGATTATAAAATGTCTCCCAATATTGTCAAAGATAATTCGCAATTTATCAGCTTTATTTACCCCCCTTTGGCGGAACATATTTGGATACATCTGACCTTTCCCTTTTGTTTGTTTCTCTGCCACCATCTTTTCTAATTCAGTCATATTTTGCTGGTTTTGGTTTCTTAGAGTATCTCACAGGTAATTATTTTTAGATCTTGCATTGCATATCTAAGCATGTTTTTATCTTATCATAACCTGAGATTTCGTTTGCCTAATACAGAATTTTATGACGGAATTCCTTTCCTCCTTTAACTTGAAGGCATTGCTCTATTGTTTTCTAGTTGCAAGTATTGCTGTTGCTAGTCTGGGTGGTTCTGATGCCCTTTTCCTTGTGGAGGGTAGTGGATTATTTAATAGGACGGTGCTAGCCAAAGTTTCTAACTCCTACCAAACTACCTTTTCTTTCATGGGACTGGTAAGAAGATGAGGGAAGAAATTCTGATAGGATTCACCCGTGGGTAATTGCGAACAAGATTCCGTGGAGTGCCATCCTGCTGCATATACAAGGACCTCTCTGGAGAAGCAGGAGCTGTCTTATTACCAGCAAGAGCCAGCAGTAGATTGCGTCCTCTGGCCCCCAGATTACTAAGCGGTGAGCCTCCTGGAGCCAGAGCAGGAAACAGAATAGTAGGCATCCCAGCCCACAGAACAAGTAAAACTGAGTGCTTTTGTGCAGGAGGCTGGGTTATGGAGTGGGACACCTCTGGGCACTTCATTCAGGACGCTGGGCTTGCTGACCCATGCAAGTGGAGCTGGGTTCCTTGGGGCTGAGGTTTCTGGAGTGGGATGCCTCTGCACTCAATTGAGGGAGCTGGGTGCCTTCAGGGTGAGGCTTACAGCAGAGTGGTATGCCCTTTTTGGCCCTTTATTAGCAGACCTGAAAGAACTGTGTGACATGGCCTGATAAACAACTGTCTCTCGAGCATTTCCCACTTGCAGCTTGTTAACTTCCTTCATAAGCCCTTTCTTTAGTCATGATATTTGTCTGAGTTCTGCACATCCAGTGCAGTGGATATTAGAACGTAGAGATAATATAGAGAATACAAGAGAAAATTACACACATTGTGTAACGAAAATTCATGACTGTGTGACTTATTGTGGATATTTCCCAAAAATCTTGCTGAATATTCAACAGACCTTTTTATTTAGGAAAGTCACATCCTTGTCTACTCTATTTTGTGGTCTTTTGTTTTATTTCCCG